TAGAGCCTTTGATTCAACTTGTGTTTCTTTTTTCTATTACGCCTCTTGCAGCACTTTGGGATAACTTTTAGCAATGAAAGGTGCTTTACAAATACCATTTATTATTATTATTATTATCAAAGGTCAGCATGACCTCAGGTGTTTCCTACCTGCAGGTACCGGTGGCTCACAGCTTCCTCGTTCAGAGTCACAAACTCTGAGGATCCCTTGGCCATCTCCACCAGATACCCAGACACAGCGCTGGCCCCGATGTACACCGGAGCTTTCCACAGGACGACCAGGGACTGACCTCTGACCTCACTGAAGCTCAGGTCGTACGCCGGGCCTGGAGGGCAAGTACAAATGATTATAACAATGTCATTAAACACTATGAGAATTAGAAATAAAGTTCATATGCTATATAGCCATCTGAAGGTCAATTATAAATAATTATAACAAAGTAATTCAACTCTAAATGGAAGGAATATGGAAATACATGATATGGAATGCAAGAAATAAAGTTAATATCTTTGTCAACAGATGGGGAAAGATATGTTGGGTATGAAGCTCAATCTAGTTCAAGCCTACAGTATATAACAGATTTAACTGGCAGTAATTCACATACTCATCTACAGCACTGCTACCTGGTGCAAGTGTTTATCAACTGCTTTAAAATCTGCTCAAAGATTGTTGGTCACCCTGTCAGAGACTTTCTGACTCAGCAGACCATAATAACCTGAGAGGTCTAGTCCAACAACATCATCTGGGACCCAAAGATTGATCTGAACAGAGAATATGAACTGCTACCCTCTAATGGAGATCACTAAAGTCAGACTGAAGCATCCTTTGTGCTCCAGTCCATCCTCTCAGTAACCACAGAGCTACAGATCAAATGCACGCTGAAGGCTCTTTGAGCAGCTTTGCTCTCACTGATTGTGCTGTTATGTTAAATGTTTCTTGAAATGATTTTTCTAACAGTTTCGTATCAGTACCTCCATCTCCTTCAGGACGCAGTTGAAGCAGGCGGTCTTCCCGGTGCCGGGCGCTCCGGAGATGTAGAGGCTGCCGGGGACTCTCTGCAGGGCTTTGTCTCTCAGGAAGCACCGGATGGCGTCTCGCTCCACCTCGCGGGACAGAAGACGCTCGGGGAGGGCCGTGTGCAAAGCCTGCTTCACGCTCAGGAACCTCGACTCTGCAGGGGGAACAAGAGAGGAAGAGGACGATGAAGAGGAGGTCAAATGCATCCTTATCTTATATGGGCAGTCTTGCACTAATGTATATTCTCTAAGATAAGTGACTGTTATTTTGTATATATTGATTGTTGTGTTTTTATTTATGTCTTAATGTGTGCACATGTATAAATGTGTCTGTTGATCGTTTGATTTGATTGGTTATAAGAAGTGGACGTTGCCCAATAGGTGACCTTAAAAACAAATATAAGCGCCTCTTACTTTCTGCAAAGAGCCTGGAGACCGCCTGTTTTCCCTCCGGGGTTCCGGAGGGAGTGTCCTGGCGCCGCGGTGACGACCCGGTGTTGGGAGACGATGGTTTCCGTGGCGACAGCGACGGGACCAGCCGGCGGCGAACGGAGAGCGGAGAGTTCTCGCCGAAGCTGAGCTTTCTGGGAGAATTCACGGCCGGCCTGCTCTGCTTCGGGGGGGAGCCGAGCAGCGAGGAGCCGCCCAGGTTACAGCCGTTATCGTCTCCTTCAAAATAAAAGACACACGATTAAATCTCCGGGTGAAGCTGATGTGGGGGAACTCGACATCTTATCATTTCAATATTCTTTCATTGTTGTATTGATAAGCAAGCCAGGCCAACAACACCAACAACACCAGATTGAGAACAGTCGCTTAAAAAAAGTAGGGCTTATCCAACGTTGTTGTTGTTTTTCATACATTTTATTTTGAAATATAAATTTAGAGGTGAATTTTCCTCTAGCATAAGTCCCTGAACTGATGTGTTGTAGTTCTGTTAAGTAGAAAAACCTCCCATGTAACCGCCTATAGAGATTTAAACCAACCTAATACTTTTTGAATAACTGTTCAACTAAGTTTTTTGTACCAAGTCAACTTCATCGTCAATCTTTCAGTTTGTACAGACGGAGAGATCAAAATACCGTTTCCCACAATCCTGAATCCAAAAACATATATATATACAAACACACAGATTTATACATATGCCATACTAAAGGATATAGGGAATAACAGGAGCCGTGTTAAGGTGTTTTATTTGCACCTTTGAAGCACTCTGTGGCCGTTCTCAAGTTGTTTTACACTAAAGAAATGAAGCCTAGTTGCAGAACCTAGAACCACGAGTTTCACCTGTGCGTTTCCTGGGGCTGAGGGGGAGTCGTGTCTGCAGACGGGGGGAGGAAGGAGGATCTCTGGAGGAAGGAGGAGCTCTGAGTGAGAGAGGAGACGAGAGGGCGGAGGTCCGGGCGACGGCAGGGCGTCTCGGGGACATCGGTCCGATGCGACCCAGGTTCAGGTTCTGAGTTTCGGGCTTTGAAGGCGAAGCAGCCGGAGACTCCTCTCGCTGCGGCGTCTTGCCGTGAGAGGAAACTCTGCAGGATTTCCGGCGAGGGAACGCCAGCGTGGGCTGAGCCTGGCCGTTAGAGCGCGTGCTGGGCATGTTGAGCTCAAACTGAAACATAAAAAGGAAAATAATCCATTAGTTCATCAAAAAAGCTAGAGGTGTGTGAGAGGGGTTTTTAACATTTTAAGCTTTTGTGAGGTTTTTGTTGAAGCTACAAATCTCAGTCGTCTAATGTTAAGCATTCAAACTTCTACTTTAGTAAAATTACAAAATGATAAGCACAAGAATGCAATTAGATCAGGGTATATGAGGAATCCTGAAGTCAAATGTAAGACCTTTTAAGACCCTTTCCATATATTTTAAGACCTCATCGCCACTTGGAGTTCTAACCGGTTACCTTGGCGACACACTTTACCTCACATTGACTATATACAGTATTGATTGTCCTTCCTCCTTATCTTCCAACCATTTGGACGCGAACTTGCATTTCCCCATAACGATGTTGTTTAACAACCGGCGTAAACGGACCTTCGCGCGCTATCAAGCAGTGAGCGTGCGATGTTCTTTTCAGATGACGTTACATCCAACGGGATGCCATAAATAAACTACACAGAATCACACTACACACCTACGCAATGATTACATTCAGGCAGACTGTAGAATACAACCTCTTTGGACAATTTATATACTTATTGAAAACAAGCTGCAAAATGTAAAACATTGGGAAATGCTGTTTAATACTTTTTAATAACATTCATTTCGCTAAATTGATTTATCAACTTGTAATACTTCTTAAGACCCCGCGGAGACCCTGCAGAAAGAAGCACTCCGTAGTTAAACCAAAGAAGCAAAACTCTTAGTAAAGCCCTGCATCCAAATGTTAACTTAAGTAAAAGTACTGGTAGCTGGGCCTTTTGGGTTCAAACTGAAACATAATCCATGCGCACATAAATGACAGGGCTGTTAATAATGTGATGTTTTATTTTTACATTTTCTAATGTTGGTGAACGAAGCTTCGACCGTCAGTTTTCAAATGTCATGCATTCAAACTCCTGCTTTAGTTATTAGCACCAAGCATGCTATAAGAACCAAAAACTAAATAAGTATGGGGCTAAATAAAATAACTATTACTCTGTTATACGAGTCCTGCATCCAACAAGTACAACAGTACTAGTGTCACAATATACCAACAGTATCAAAAACACTCATTTAGCCAAATTCAAGATATATTTAACATTATTAGATTTACTGATAAAGTAATGTGTTCATGTTTCGATGTTGCAGCTGTTAACATGTGGGGTTTAGTCTGCCTAATGTACATACTGCTGGGTAGTGGAGACTCCATTGATATGTATAAAGTAGCATTACATGGAGATACTTCATTAAAACTCAAGTACTTCAAAATTGTACTTGAGTAACTTTCCTCCACTAGTTGTTGGCATGTTGGTCGTGGCACCTGCTATCTTTCCCTAGCACACTTAGCAATTGAAATCAACCTTAAAACACAACACAAACTACTATGATATGATCTTTATGTTCCTTCTCATCCAAAGGTTGCACTGTATGTTTTTGTCTAGACCAAAATAGGGTTGTTTTAAGTGTAAATGAAAGTGTACAATAAAGCTTGTGTGAATTGAATTCCTCAATATTACCACATGTTACACATTATGATTAATCTAAAAACAATTTTCACACACTTAATACCATTATAGTAACCTGTCAAAGTGTATAGATCCTTATTTTAGAAGTTGTGTTTACTCGAAATCACCAGCAGACCAAACACTATAGTATGGTTGTCAAATGGCGCGAAAACGGTGGGGTTATCACAACGAAATAACCAGATTTCGCCATGAAAATGAATGATATTTCATCTAAAACATATCCTTTTAACAAAAATACACCTCTGGAGTAAAATGCATAACGTGAAAAATAAGCTACTAGGAGTATTTTAGACGATAAACCAGCAAAGCGAATCTGAACAGTAGAATAACTCTCTTCCGGTTACGATTTACAACCATATTTCACCTTCCACTACTTAAAATAAAGAGTTAATGATATATTTACCGTTATAAATAGTAGCAGGAAGTCTTCTCAGTTGAAAGTAGAGTGTTTTATCTTGTCTTACAGCCCTCTGAGTCTCTTTCTCTCCGTTGTCTTCACACACTGAAGCCGAAACTTGCGCCAAATCTCTATCTCCTCCTCCTCCTCCTCCGATGCAACAGCTGCTCGCTTCCCCCTCAGCTGCTCTCTGATTGGTCAGAGCAAACAGCTCCCCCAACGCTCATTGGCTGAGCGTTTCTGGCCGGACGTACGTCACGGTTTCAATGACCAGGGCAGGCGGTGTGGCGGGAGTTTAAATGGAACACTGTTTTCCCGGGAAATGTGATGTTTCCAAAGTCTGTAACGTGACGCACTTTGAATGCCAGAGTCCGGGTTAAATATCACCATCTACTCAAAATAACTCTCTACGTGTGGTTTTAATGGTTTTACTGAGAGAGTATTTGTATTTAAAGTAGGGCCGGGACTCGATTAAAAAAATTAATCTAATTAATTACAGGCTTTGTAATTAATTAATCGCAATTAATCGCATTTTTAATCGCATATAAATATTTGACCTAAGAACAGTGAGAAGCAATTTTTTTCACATGGATTTTAGTATACCATTGAATAATGACTGAATACATAAGCTTAAGCAACAAAACATTGTTTATTTTTATCAAGGAGGTTCTTAACCAAGACCAACAGAAAAGTGCAATTTTTGCCATAAAGTGTAGCAATAGCATATTTAGGAATATAGTACATTTCAGAGATTCCGGTAGCCTATAGGTAGGTAGACCTTCTGTAAACTATAACACTTTGTTTTTTAAGTATAACACAATACTTTCAAGTACATTCAGAACATTGGAAACCCTGACTATTAGAAAACATCTCTCTGTTGCTTCAGAGGCCATAACAGACTTTGTTGATTTACCAACAGTTGATTTAAAAAATCTAATACATTTCAGTCCAACTCTCTCAATAACCTTGGCCAAAACAATAAACAGTTCAACATAAAGTGCCAGTTGCACCAACAACGTAATAAATAGTTCAACATAAAGTGTACCATTTAAAATAAAATAAAAAAGTGCCAGTGATTGACCTCAATCCCTCCTATTCTTCCAATATCCTGATGAAAAATAAAATCTCTCTGTTGCATAGGCCACTGTTTGATCAACGCGAATTGGGTGTGGGTCCTTGTACTCCGAGTCGGGCTAACGTCCACGCTAGCTTCCACGCTAGCTGCTATAGTTTTGCATTGAGGTGATACTTGAGGCTTGATGTGCTGCGGTGATATGCAATTCCTTTTTGCATAATTTGCAAACAACCGTGCTCTTATGAGCTTCCATCCGTCCGTTTTTTAAAACAAAATGTCCCATCCACGGGGCCAACCAAAGCGGTCTCATCAGCTTCTTCGTTCACGTTTGACTATTGTTCACTGTGGTTTGTTGTTGTCTGAAGTCATGAACGTTAGTTGGTGCTCCAGTATAATCGGTACCCCTGAAACTCATCCAGTGAGAAACGTTCCGCGGTGCAAAAATAAGTGCGATTAAAATGCGTTAATTTTTGTTTAATTAATTAATCTTAATTAACGCGTTAAAGTCCCGGCCCTAATTATTATCCTTGAAATAAAGGTAATATCAGTGTTATCTGCATTTGGGTCCTGCG